ATAGTTCAGATACATAACACATGAAATTCGGATGAACCGATAACAACCTGCTTAGTCTTTAAAAATAAAACAACTTTCATTACTACGCAGCGGATTCACACAATTCAATTGAAGACACCATAACATCTTATCCAACTCAAAACAATTCTAAGACAACAAGTCTTTTAATGAAAACAACTTAAAAATTCACCAACATAATGAAAATCAACAATAAAGAAAACATGTGTTCATCCCCCTGAGTGCTACGTATCAGAGCGACAACACCGACTCGAACTAATGAGGGTAACAACTAACCTTCTTAATTACCTGCACGTTACCAACATAGGGTAACATTCAAACAGAAGGGGTGAGATATCGAACCATATAATCAGATATACAATAAATAATATATTAGTATTAGATCATACAATTCACCACTTCACGGCTTTTTATCAACATTCAACATAATTAATTCACCCACACGACAACTCAGAATGCAACATGAAATGCGACTCGTCTTTATGCACATACATGTGGTACCAATGGAGCAGAACTCACAACTTAGAAATATGCCAATAAATAGAGACATCAACAAGGCATAAGCCTTCAACTTTATATTTGCCAATCCAGGCCAACTTGACGAGCATCAGCTCCAACATGATATGCCATGTATGCATCAACGACATGAACGTAATAATAACAACAACAACAACAATAATCCAACTTAGTTCAACATTGGCCATAAGCCTGCAACTTAATATTTTCCCCATAAATAGAGGCAATGAAATCACCTGCAAATTCACATTTTCCACAAAAATTTCACTCAACAGATCAACCAGAATTACTACAATAAACCGCATAATTATTCGGACTATTTTGGCTAAAATCGGTTAATTAATTATCGGCCAAAATTTTTATTATTTCTACTTTATAAATTCTACAAAATTATTTATTGAAGATATTAAATCCTTATTATTAAAATATTTTATATTGTAAACCAGAACGTAGTAGCTGCAGTATTGCAAAACGAATGCCATTAAATATTACTTCTAAAATTCGCTACAGTAGCAAAACAATGCCATTAAATATTACTTCCAAAATTTCGCTACAGGATTGCAAGTCATATGCAATAAATATTAATTCATGTTACAGTATTCGGAACAAATGCCATTAAATATATTTATTCCATGCGCTATTGTATTAGAAAAACATATGCCTTTAAGCTACTTCGTTAATGCTACAGTATGCAAAAGCCATTAAAAGTGTCTATTTTACATGCTGTAGCGCTGAAGGCAGTAATATTATGAAGTAGCGCCTATAATTAAGTATCACTTAAGAAGTAATATGTAAATTTCATGGGAATGCATTGAGCATGTACTTGAACTTCAGGGTACAAGGTTCGATTCCCACGAAAGGAAAAAACTCTACTAGTGAGGGGGTAGAGAAGATCGTGAGGTAATAGTGTCGGGAACGCTGAAGGCTCGGCCTATTACACGGACCACCTAAAAAGAAATAGTAATTAATTAGTAAAAATATAGAAAATAAATATTTAAAAATATAATTTTTAAACCTACTTGGTCGCATATGAAGATTGGTATGGATAGGATTCCTAGGTGCCAGTTTCGGTATTCTGAACCATCCTCAAGCCTGAAGTAGTGTTGTACAACCAACAAAATTATGAACATTTTTTAGTGCATCTACACAAGTTGGTGTATAGATGCGCTAGATTTGTAGCTCCTCAACTGTATCTACCTATTTTATTAAAGTCAATAATGGTAAATACTGAGGATGTATAGTGTTACCATTAGTATCAGGAAATATTAAGCCATCGAAAAGCAATAAAATATAAATTCTAGTTTTTCTATTTATTTCTTCAATGGTGGAATTCTCGTATAATTCAATAGCGCCATATTTTTCCATGAGCCAAGTCATTTTAATGAATTGGTCTTTTTTAGATGTGCTAGTCAATTCTTCACCTAATAGTTCTCGAGTTATAGAGTAGTTGACATTTGTTCCTAGTACAGTGGTAGAAATCCAAACACTTCCCATATGTACAGATGACGACACTATTTTCAAAGGGAAACAAATCTTCCACAAACTATTATGGGCATTCCAACCATGCATAAGAGACTTTATATATTGCAATCTTATACATCAAATTGATGGTACCTGGTTATATGGTAAGTACAAGGGTACACTACTAATGGCGGTAACACAAGATGGAAAAAATAATAATTTCCCAGTTGTTTTTGCCCTTGTGGAAGGTGAGACGGTGGATGATTAAGGCTTATTTCTAAAGAACTTGAGAATGCATGTATCTCCTCAACCCGGCCTATATTTAATTTCATACAGGCATGCATCGATCGAAAGTGCATACAATAATCTAAATAATGGTTGACATAATATGCCATTTGTGCATGTCTATTGTATCAGACATATTGCGTAAAATTTCATGAGGGAAATCAAGGACCGAAATCTCCGAAAAAGTTATCAACATGGGTAACTATCTATTTGCTAACATCATATCTTAGTTAATACTATATCATAATATTAACCCATTTTTATAACATATAGAGCATGCTTTAAACCAACCAACGTTTAACTATTATCGGAATGAAATAGGCATTGCTAATGGTGGTGCTTTAAGGTGGTTAAATAATATTCTAGTAGAAAAATGGATGATGACATTTGACGAGGGTCGGCATTGGGGTCACATGACAACAAACCTCGTCGAGTCAATAGATTTAGTCTTTAAAAGCACGTAATCTGCCTATTATAGTCTTGGTAAGTACAACATACTATAGGATGAGATCACTATTTGCTGAAAGCGATGCACAATGTTGAATTCTGGACAAACATTTACAGAAAATTGCATGAAGGTATGAAAGAAGAAACAACAAAATCCAACACACATCAGGTAATAATTTTTTATTACAATCATAACACTTTCAGTGTGAAGGAGACAATGGACCCCGATGAGGGGAAGCATATGAGACGTTACAAGGTCAACCTAATAGATTATTGGTGTGACTGCGGAAAGTTTCAAGTATACCGTGTTCTTTGTTCACATGTTATCGCTGCATGTTCCGTGGTGCACCAAGACTCTTATGCTCTTTTGTCCGACGTCTACAAGTCCCATTTATGACAGATGTCAAATTTTCCATAATCCAATAATGCAGAAGAACAAGAAAGGTCGCTTAGTGAGCACACATATTAGAACGAAAATGTGCATTGTATCGTCTTCCTGGTCACAATCGAACTCGATGTTCCAATGTTGAAACTAGTAATAATTAACATTTTATTTTATTATCAAGTCTCATTTTCAGATTACTGTCAAGCTTCTCAATTGTATTAACCATTACTAATTCAGTTTTGTATGAACCATTACTAAATTAATGTATTTGTAATTCAACTTTCATTTCAAATTAAAGACAAGATTATGGTACAACAAAATGAGAACAGCATCGCATATATCAATAACATGATAAACAAATAAAATGACTAAACACATCAACATATCTAGGAGATTACAACCATTAAGATAATATTAGTTGGTCCAAGCATTATCATAAGGACATCATAGTCAGTTTTAATAGGTTTCCAGGAACGAGTTACTACATTTTGGTTGGACATTGTAACTTGCCTATCAATTCTCCTGATTTGTTCACCGTCATGAATGTTTTCGTCTAACCAGCGGATCAAGTGCCTCTGAAAATGCTCGAAAGTCTGCGTGTTCCAAAGTTTGATCTTCATCGAAAGTTTTGTTAAAAAAATAAGTTGAGCATCTCTTTTAATAAGTGGAAACGTTGGAAGCTTTCTTACAGAAATATTTAAGAGTGAAATGAAGAGATGAATGGTAAATATGGTACCAAATGAGGAAGCGAAAAACATTAAAATAATCTAATATTCATGGCAAGAGGGTAAAAAATCACATCTCTATTTATATAAAGTTATCCCTCTAAAATAATAAAATAATCAAAAACTCCGCCAATTATAATGACGAAGTACTTAAATAATAAAATAATTAAAGATTCCGTCAATTGCAGAGACATATCGGTATTTAAATATTAAAATAATCAAAAACTCTACCAATCACAGTATCAAAGTTGTATTTAAATAATAAACTAATCAAAACATCCGCTAATTATAACACCGAATCTATATTTGAACAATATAAAATTAATTAATGAAATTTATTTATTTATTTATATATATTTATTAAAATTAAAATCTAATATATATATATATATATATATATATATATATATATATATATATATATATATATATATATATATATATATATATATATATATATATATATATATATATATATATATATATATATATATATATATATATATATATATATATATATATATATATATATATATATATATATATATATATATATATATATATATTGGGATGTGTTTGTGGTTGGCTTAAAAATCATAGTAAACATAGACACGTACAAAATATACAATCGTTTTTTCACGTATCAGATAGAGATTTAGAAAAAGATCCAAGTAAATGTAAGTTGGCATATTTCCTTTGACTTACAATTAATTTATGAAAATTTCTTAAATGTTTATGTATCACTATCTTTTAGTTTAAATTACTTTTAAATTTTAATTTATTTTAAAATAGAGATTAATTATTATTTATACTATTAGTGTATTTCAATTAAATTCTTTAAGATAAATAAATAATAATAAAATATTAAATTATAATGAATTTTTTTTCTTGTAATAAAGAGTAGATAGTATTAAATATTAATTCTATTGACAATATATGGAATAATATTAATTGAAAAACAGTTCACTGACATCTAGTAGTAGAATCTGTATGTCCCATCATCATCGTTGGGATATGTTCAATTGTTTTATTTTATCATATATAACCAAACATCATTATGTTACGAATTTTCAAAAAACAACTTAAATCAACACAACAACGTTTCTACCAGAACCATGTTTCAACTCTGCTGATTTTCATTCTTCTTGTTCAAATTCAAGAATATGGAGGTTGTGATTATTGCTCTTGCTGCTACACTTGGGAATCTCCTTATTGGATGGGATAGTTCCACCATTGCAGGTTCATTTCTCATCTACTATATCTACTAGTAGTATTTTCAGTTTCAATTTCTATGAATATCACAAGCTCATGTATCGTTATAGATTCTGTCCAATCATTTATATCATAGCCCTAATTCTGAAATTCGTTATACATAATGGATAATTTATAATTCGTATACCCTAATCTTTTAGATAATACTGAATTAGGTGGCTGTTCTGAGTTCTGACTACAGGAATTGATAAACAATTTTTGCCTCTTGTGCAGGGGGTATGACCTACATCAAACAAGAATTTGATTTGGAAAAGGATCCAACACTTGAAGGACTAATTGTGTCTATGTCTTTTATAACTGGAACTGTTGTCACCATTTTTTCTGGAACAATCTCTGATATGGTTGGAAGAAGGCCTATGTTGATAACATCTTCTGTTATGTTTATTATTGCTGGTTTGGTAATGTTGTGGGCTCCTAATGTTACTGTTATTCTCTTGTCGAGGATAGTTGAAGGCGTTGCCATTGCTCTTGCTGTTACTTTTAATCCTCTTTACATATCGGAGATAGCGCCTCCTGATATAAGAGGACAATTGAACACTCTTACTCAGTTCGCTTGTTCTGGTGGAATGTTCTTGGCTTACGTTCTTGTTTTCTCAATGTCCTTGTTGCAATCGCCTAGTTGGAGAGTTATGCTTAGTGTTATTTCTATTCCTTCTGTTGTTTATTTTTTGTTGACTGTGTTTTATCTTCCCGAATCTCCTCGGTGGCTTGTAAGCAAAGGTCGAATCGTTGAGGCTGAGAAAGTTTTGAAAAGACTTCGCCGCGTTGATGATGTCTCAGGTTACACTTAATTAGCCTTTACCTGTTATTGTTAGCTTTATATTTTCCGCAACATTATTTCTCAACTTATTAGGAATCTACTGTGTTTGATATATAGGGGAGATGGCTTTGCTTGCGGAGGGTCTCAATCCTGGGGGTGAAAACATATCCATAGAAGAATACGTAGTGGCCCCAGCTAGTGAGATCCTTATCAACCATGAAGCAGGAAAAGATTATATAAAATTATATGGACCTAATGAGGGAGTTACAATGATTGCTCAACCTGTGAATGGACAAGGTAGCATGCTATCGCGCAGTATGTTGTCTATGCATGGAAGCTATGCATCGCGCAGTATGTTGTCTCAGCAAGGAAGCTTTTCATCTCAAGCAGCTGCTAGTCTCAAAGATCCTATTGTCAACCTGTTTGGAAGTTTCCACGAGAGTACTCTCATCGAGAGCGGCCGTTCGAACAGTATGTTGATTAACAATGCTAATAGTATGTTTAGCACGGGAGATCCAGAGTCTAGCCCGTTCGGTACAAGTGACAACCTGCGTGCTCCATTGAATCCATTTCATGGTGGAGCTGATAGGGCTTATGGATCTAAGGACATGTTAGGCATGAGAAGCAATAGCAGTTTGGTTCATGGAAATGATGAAACACCGAGAAATACAGACATCGGTGGAGGTTGGCAATTGGTTTACAAATCAACTGATGATGCAATGGGTGGGAAAAGAGAAGGACTCCAAAGGGTTTATTTGCATGCAGATCCTTCAGCTGCTGCAGTGTCTCAGTCTCCGCATGTTTCAGTTGTTGCAACTTCTGGCTATGACATACATATAGATGGTGGCGAAGCTTTTCAAGCCGCTGGTATAGTCAGCCGGTCAGTTCTTGGAACTAGTGATGCATTGAGTATCCCGGAAGCCACTGCAAAAGGTCCAAAGTGGAGAGCTCTTCTAGAACCAGGTGTCAAGCGTGCATTAATTGTTGGAATAGGACTTCAAATTCTTCAACAGGTACAATTGGTTTGCATTGTGTTTTAGTAATACTTTACGTCACTCGAGTATACTGTATCAGTCTATAATTGATATTTCATCCAAAAAATGATTATAAGCCAACTTCTTTCTATCTGATTCTAAAAATAAAAAATACACATTGCAGGCTGCTGGTATAAATGGATTTCTATACTATGCTCCTCAAATTCTTGAGCAGGCAGGAGTAGGAGCTCTTCTATCAAATTTAGGCATCAGTTCAATATCTGCTTCTTTTCTCGTAAATATCATTACAACGTTCTGTATGCTTCCTTGTATAGCCATTTCCATAAGGCTCATGGATGTTGCTGGCAGAAGGTATGTTCAAAACTATGACTCAGATTAGTTATACATTTATCTTGTTTCTATTTCATGTGTTTAGCTAGACTTATCTGTATTACTACATTACCGTTAGGTGTTGTTTAGATATACAACTCAATTAAGCACTTAAAATATAAACACCTATCATATAAGTGTTAAAGTATAAGCGATTTCTATAACAAAAAAATATGAAGTCAAATTGTTTTCATATAGATATTAGTTCTTTTTCCCCTTGAGAGTTTTTAAAATAAGATAAAAACACTAGTCATGAAAATAATTTATCTCATAAAACAAAAATCGGCATAAAATCCAACATTCATGAATCATGACACATAACATTGTCTATTTTCTCATGACAGGTCAATCATGCTGTACACCATACCGATTTTGATAGTATGTCTCCTATTACTGGTACTGAAACAGTATTTTCAACTCAGCTCTGTCCTAAATGCATCAATTTCAGCTATCAGTGTTGTGGTCTACGAAAGTGTCTTCTGCATGGGCCTTGGTATTATTCCCAACATCATATGTGCAGAAATCTTCCCGACCAGTGTTCGCGGAATCTGCATTTCCCTTACTTCTCTTACTTATTGGGTTTGTACATTGGCCGTCACGTTGACATTCCCTTATTTGCTCCAACTTCTCGGTCTCAGCGGCGTATTCGCTTTATTTGTTGGTGGCTGCTTCATTTCATGGATATTTGTTTACTTGAAAGTTCCTGAAACAAAGGGTATGCCTTTGGAAGTTATTATTGAGTTTTTTGCAATTGGTGCAAAGCCTGGTACTGATCCTGCAGAATTTGGAATGAAAGATTAATTAATGTCCTATAGAAATAAATATGATGGTGATCATCATCAGAAAAAGAAACAGCATTAATCATTCATAAATTTTGAATATACCAAAAGCATTAATCATTCATAAATTTTGAATATACCAAAACCGAGTTCGAGAGGATTTTGGTTGAAGCTATATGTAACTTTTGAGGTTTTAATAGAAGTCAATATATTCTAGTAATTTATTATTTATATATGCTAGGAATGATGTTTTAGATTTGGCTATTTAGGTTCTGTTCGGTAAAAATAGCGGTTGATAGATCAGGTAGTTGATAGTATATAATTTATGACTGATGAGTTATAGTTTATAGTTGAAGTGTTTAATAAAATTTGTGGTTCAATAAGTTGATAAATTAAAATGACATAAAAGATATTTAATATATAATTTTTTATTTAAATTAAAATAAATTATAAAGGATAGTAGTTAGTTCTAGTTAAAATAATAAGAACAAATGTGGAAGAAATTATGAAAATCTATAAGCTATAAGTTAAAATGTTATTTAAAATAGAGTCTTGAAAATACTCTCTCCGTAACAAATTATAAGAGCATCCATATCCATCATACCTATTTGGGTTCTTTAAATGAGACTCACATAATTTTTTATATTATTTCACACTTCTCAATTTTTTAAACAACCCATCTACGATTTTTAAATATTCATGTAACTCATCAAAAAATCTAAAATGAGTCCCACATTTAAAACAAATCAATTATATTCTTGCAATTTTATTTATTAATTTATTATCATGACCCACTTAATTGGAGTGTAGAAGCGTGTTTTAGTATGAGGACGTGCTTTAGTTCAGGAACGTGAAAACAAGTGAAATATCCATTTATTATTGACACAATTTCTTTAATAAATGTGTAAGAACTCTCAAAGAACACCGATAATCATGCTCTAAATAAATTTAACTTTTTTTAGTATATTTGACAATTCATATATGAACTAGATATATTAATGATCAAATATATTGAAAAAGTAAAAAAAAAAAAATTATAATTCGTTACGGAGGAAGTAAGCTATAAACTCGTGATAAAAAAATTATGACCAAAGAAATCTTTTATTATCTTATAAGCTTATAAGCTATAAGCAAAAAATGTCTTAACACCTTATATCTTGTTCTTATTCATTCTTTGGCATTTAATTTTCTGTTGTATTAATTTTCATTCTTGCAAATGTTCCATATTGAAACAATCGGTTTCTTTGATACCATTTTAGCAAAAGAAAAAGAAGAGAAGAATGAGAAATGAGGCTATGATTTCTATTAAAAATGAAAAAGATTTAAAAAAAATTATATTAGAATATAAATATTAGATTATAGAAAAGATCAAAACACTCTTCCTAAAATAAAATAAAAATATAACAATATCATACCAATCTAGTAGCCTGATCCAGCCAATACCTTTGTTGTTTATGTGCATTCAACGATCTTTTATAATCTAAGTCGGATGAACTGAGGTGGTTTTAACCATCACTCATATATAAACATGTCTCTCAGTCATGCTCAAGTATTCTTTTACTCACACTTGCAACAATTCCACCTCTCTCAAATTCTGACTTAAATGTTGAAGTGTTATTCTTGAGGTATTGCCTTTCTCGTCACCCACCCAAGAACTTAACCACTATGCTAGAAACCTTTCAAAGGTGGAAATCTTCTACCTACCATCCATTCTTTAATCCAGTACGGAATATTGTCGTCTTTTGTGGAAACTCTCTTTTGATTTTCATGAATTTTCCATCGAATTTCTCTTTGATATATGTTGTAGTGCCTTCGCAGTCACTTTTTGTTACTGCTCTGACAACCGTACCCGTTTTGCAAACATAACCATTTTCTGCTACATTCTTTGATGATCAGTCTCAAAGCAATTCATCAATGCAACACCATTCTCGTTCTTGATATTCAATGATTCAAATCCTCCAGAGCCAAGATCCACAAGCTTCGATTTCAACTCTTCAACCAATTACGGCACCACATCAGAACTCAATTTCTCAATCAATTTTCACTTTCTCTGCAACAACATCAACTCCCTCCTACTCCACTTTTTCAACGTTCAGGACTAAAGTTGTTATATGAAATTCAACAACTCCAAGCCTCACTAGGAGTACCTTTTGAAAAAAATCATTATATCATCTTTGACCCGATGCAACAACAAAAGCGAGACTTTTCTGAATCAAAGAGATTCAATAGAATAATCCTACTAAGATTGCAACTCAGCTAGAGGTGTAGCAACAAGACCACTTCAGAGCCACTTCGAGGGTAAATTTTGTTGACCTTAGGTCATAACCATTCAATGACCATGGTTTTCTAGTGAGACATCACCATCATCCCTCTGGTCATAATTCTCCTCCCGATGACTCTGGAGGCGGAGGTAGTAGACACACACCACCTGAAGACCACCATCATAGGAAATCTTCCTTTCGTTGTTTTCGAAGGGGAAACAACCATTATACCACTGATTACGCCTCAACCCACTTTAGAAGGAATTCATTCACCAAACACATATTTGGCTGCATAACTCTGTTTACCGTAAAATTTAGTAAACAACCACTAGTCTCCCAAATTCTAATGACTCTGATTACTTACAAGATCGACTAGATTGATCCTAGGACAATAGTGTCTGTTTTTTAGTTGTTTTTATAGATTTTTCAAGATCTTGATCTTTTTGATTGTAAAGGTAAGTTCGAATATAATTGGTAAAGAGAAAAAATAAAGACAAAGAAAGTAAATGATAAAGAAAAGAGTAAAGATTTTGACTAAAAAGTGTAAAGAAATGGTAAATGACTTTAAAAATATAAATGTTGCATTGAAAGATAAAAAGGTGGTATTTCAAACGTACATTCTCAGAACTCGTTTTTCGATTAACTTTGATACTTTGAGTGTATAGAGTAATTTGTAAAACAATTAAACACACATAAATCTAAAGACTCCTATTTATACTAATTCTAAATGAATGATCTTCTTATCAGAAGAAGACACGTTCTCGCTTGCATGCGTTCGATCCTTCAAAGGCCTCCACACGTCTCTTTTCAAAAGGAACAAGTAACCGCCAAAATTTGAATGTTCAGTCTTACTTTAAATCTCTTCGTCGAACCTGCTTTGATCACATCTACAAAATGCTACGTTTCAACTTCATGCTTTATTCACCAAATCTCGATAAAAAAGACCAATGTTCACATCTATCAAAGAATTTCTCCAATACTTTTTATTTCTTTCCAAAACTTTAATGTGTTTACTAAACCTTGAGTGTCAAATTTTCCAGCTAACAAATTGCCTCCCAAAAATGTCTTTTTCAATTATAATGAGAAAAAGGCAGTTTTTGAAAACTTTTGATGCTTCAGCAATTACTTCTGTGATGTCATGGTTATGATGACCATTTTTAAGAAACGTCTCATCGAGATGTGCACCGTTGCTTTTGAATCATTACCCCTAAAAAATAGGAGTATGGAGATAACTTGTAAAGCTTAACCTCTTGTGCATCCTTTAGAAATCTTCCACGCGCCCCACTAATTTTTATTCATCTCCCACAATGAAATTTGAAGCGTTTTTTTCTTATCCCTTATAAATACCAATATCTCCTATTTTTAAACTTTTCCAATTTCTGAAAACTCACACTTGCACTCTTGAGCTTTTTCTCTACAACCTTCACAGCCTCTTCATCTTATAAACTTCCAACTTCAACAATGGCGCCTAAAGTCAAAGTATGAAAACAACAAAAGGAAGCTTCAAACCCTATCATCAAGATTGAAACCCCATTGCCAGTGGGAAATCAGAAACACATTCCCGAACCTCCTTTTCTTGAGGAAAAACGCAAAATCTATGAATCATAGATACTTATTCCTTTAACGATTTATGGGGAAACACATGCATACATGGGTCATTTGCCATACCCAGATGTAAATGTAGAAAAATCAAAGAGTTTTTTTCCTACTTATCATCGTACTAAGCCCTTAGATAGTAAGCAAAAACCTAATGATAAAGGTATTAAAAACCCCGAAACCCTGGAATCTACAGATAACCAAGTGATGTCTTCGATTGACACTTTGAAAGTAGAGGATAAAATTAATATTGATTACATGAGCAACACTCTGAAAGTATTTCGCTCTTGCCCTCTAATGAAAGACCCTGACTCATACCTTTCATGGCTTGCTAAAGTTGAAAGTCAAAAAATCCAAATTCTCGAAGGATATGGGGATTTATGACATGATACAGTTGTCGAAATCTAGTCCTGGATATAGCCAAAGAACGTTAGTGGATTCACTATACTTCTAGGATTTACCCACAACACTTTTCATTTCCCTTTTGGAATGATGACCCCAACTTTATTCAATATTATTGTCATTACTGGTCTTCGACCGATTGGGGAAACCTTCGACCCCTATGAGTTGGATGAAGACACCATCAACTTTTGAAAGGGAAAGCCGACTTTCACACACTATAAACTGATCATCATGACAAAAATTGTGTTTGAGCCAAATTATTCTAGGTTCACTTTATGAATCGTTAGGAGAATTAGTCGATATCCTAGAGAACTACCAACCAGGAAACAACATCTTGTTTGCTGGTCCATTCTGGCTACTTCAACCGTGGTTGAATGCAACCTTCGAACCTTCACTTTCAACAAAAAATCTCATCAACGAAGAAGATGATGAAATAAAAAATAGGAGGGACGAAAGGATAAGATTAGTCCAACTAACTCCAAGTGATGAAAGTACAACATTAAGATATTACTTTCTTGGGTTTATCTTGATGTTTGTCAAGCGCCACAATTTCACCTCTTTGATGGCTCCCTTTGCTCAACGCCTGTGTGGCCCTGAATGGCTTACACGTGAGTTTTCGGCCCCTTTGAAGGATCAAGAGGTTGGATCCATGGCCATCTGGGAGTCTTTCCTTACTCCTCTATTTTTGTCCACTAGGTTGAGACCTTCAAAGAACCAAATCGTTCTGATTAGTTATCAATCTAACCTAGTTTCTCGATAATTT